TCCACATTGTAGGCGTGGGGTTGTCCCGTGGCACCGGAGCGCGAAGAAATGGAACTCACATGTACTCTGTCCGTCCCGCTCGGTCCTGGCTGCAACACGTAGTATCTCCTAAAGCCACTCTGATCGGTGGAGACAAATGCCAGTGAAATGAATAAACCTATAGAAAATAAGAGGTCCCATCTGATCCAAGCCATATCCACTCCGTATCCGCGTAAAGACAATAGACTTTTTGGAAACTGTATATTAAATTCCTTGAAGAAGGTCCGTATCTGGAAAATAAAAACTCCTGTGACTTTATCGCGAGTAAAACAGTTATATATCCCTGAGCATATTCGTCTATGCTTCGCCTTCCAACCCGAATTAAAAACAAGAACTAAAAACGTAGGCTTAACTTTAAAAGTAAAAAATAAAATAGGGCATGTAAAAACCTGATTATGGGTCTAAAACTGAATAAAGCACTGCTTTATCCCTGCGCAGGGTAGAAGGGGGAGCTGGGCAGCAGATGTTACGGCTGCTATGGCTACGTTTGTGCAATACTTTACCCTGCAGATGCGATTGAAAACTCTTTAAAAAGTTTCACTGTGTAAGGGCAGGAGTTAGTGTCAGAACTGAACAGCCAATCTCCGGCAGACATGACGTCAGAAGTGGGATGCTTATTGGAACACACTTGTGGGGCTGAACCCTAAAACAAATGTTTAGAGTGCGTAGTGTTCCTATAGTCGCCAAAGATCTAAAGAAAATCTATTCCTGAAGACGCATGAACTGTGCTGTCACTGTGCTGTCGGCAGGAGCGCGCGCTCATCAAAGTGACAGAAGGCATAAACCTTGTTGTCCAGCAAGTTCATGCGTGATAGGAGTATAAATACACGCTTATAAGAATGACCCGTTATAAAATAATACACACCCAATAAGCCACGTGTAATGTGTAATACTGTGTAATACTAATAATATGTAACGTTTCTTCATTCATTCATATTTATAAATAACATAAATATATATTTAAAGTACATGCTGTCATAGTCCTCTATCTCATTGTTACTTCGGTCCCATATACTCCTGCATAAATCAGATAGGAACAACCATGCGACAAGTAATTAATAAAGCCATGTGCGCACCATTATTCATCCAACAACCCACATGAGTTGACCACAGTTGCGCAGCGGGCCATTTCTGGGAGCTTCTCATTTTTCATGCTTATCCCTAGTTACTGTCCTCCTACACTGCAGGGTTACCAGCGACCCCTGGGTAAATTGTTCAGCAGTGACTCATTATTCCATTGAGGACTGCAGAGGATATTCCAGTACAGGAGTGAGTTCATTGAAGACATACTATAGCACACACACAGCGGTTTTGAGGACCTCCACCCAGATGAACATAAACCCCATTGAGTCATTGTGTGTGCTTTGGAAAACATACAAAGTAGCATTAAGTCTTATGATGTTGGCTCTCGAGTGGTATCTAATTGTTTTCTTGAAACCTCTATGTCCCCCATTGAGTTTTAAGTGGGCAAATACTTGATATCATGGTGTCATACACTTATTTATAGATTTAAAAAAGAAGGCCACAAGAATCTTCCCTCCAGAATGTGAAAAACGTTGTCGGGAAACGTTGCTCTGAATTTGACACACAAGGGGTGATGGTAACCAGAGCTCAGTGTCTGTGGAGCAGCATCCTCAGAGAAGGGGACAGATATGTGGTGAAAGACAGGGCGGGGCACATGTGTAATCACCAATGATGCAATTTCAAAAAGCTGGGCAGAAATGCAATCCTCCAGTCACTGATTAAATCTGGGTCAGCCTCATGCCCCAGAAGAGCACATATGACCAGGAAACAGTCATCCAGGATGATCAAGGACAGAAGTCAGAAATGAATGTATGCACACTACTTTAATTCACTCTGGATAAGAGCATCTTCTAAATGACTTATGTGTAAGATGCTTCTGGAAAACATTAAAGTCATAGTAAGTCTGTGGGAAGGGACAAACATAGACATGCACAAGTTGTATGCAAAATGTGAATGTTGGGGTCTTTGTTTCAGTGAGCTTTCAGGTCACACATTTACTATAAAGAATGTTACTCTGATAAAGGTTCTGATAAACCTTTTGCAATCGAGTCCTCGCCCTAGGTCGTCCTGACCAAAAACTGCTCATAGTGATGATCAGTTCCTTACTGTTAATTCATACCACTTAATGAATAACATGAAATGTGATGTAATTTTGGTGTTCCTCGTTGGCAATGACCTCACCATCGAACTTCAGCTGCAGTTGGAACTTTATGAGGATGTTGTCAGGTTGTTACTGAGAAACACCAGGAATGTTGAAAAGAAACAGGAGGCTGAGGCTGAACAAGCATTCTTTTTCCCTGCTTCAAAGGGAGGCCTCTCCAAACGTCTGATGTCATGGCAGCAAATCAGTGTAATGATGTTTGTCCATGAATACAATTTGGAAGTTATATAACCATTAGCAGGCAGATATTTATGACTATATTTTCCCTGTGTCTGCTGGATATATGATTGTATTTATTTTACCTTTATTTAACTAGGCAAGTCAGTTAAGAACAAATTCTTATTTACAATGACGGCCTACACCGGCCAAACCTGGACGACGCTGGACCAATTGTGCGCCGCCCTATGGGACTCCCAATCAAGTCCGGTTGTGATACAGCCTGGATTCAAACCAGGGGGTCTGTAGTGACGCCTCAAGCACTGAGATGCAGTGCCTTAGACCGCTGCGCCACTTGGGAGCCATGTAATGGTGTATGATAGTAAATAATGACAACACACTCGTAACGACCATTATTGAACATTTTTATTAAATGACTGACATTTTGGCCCAGAAATCTGGTTTTGATCGAGTGGTTTTGTATGCAAACAAATTGTGTGATCAAAAACGGTGGAAAATATGGAATGTATACATAGGGGCGATGCACACTTCTTTCCCAATCCAGAAATTGTCACCAAATCAAAAAAAAAGAAGAAAAGAATAACATTCATGAAAGAGGACTACAGCTGTGACATAACACATGTCCATACAGTGAGGGAAAAAAGTATTTGATCCCCTACTGATTTTGTACAGTGGGGAAAAAAAGTATTTAGTCAGCCACCAATTGTGCAAGTTCTCCCACTTAAAAAGATGAGAGAGGCCTGTAATTTTCATCATAGGTACACGTCAACTATGACAGACAAAACGAGCTGAGATTAGGAGCACACTCTTAAAGGGAGTGCTCCTAATCTCAGTTTGTTACCTGTATAAAAGACACCTGTCCACAGCAGCAATCAATCAATCAGATTCCAAACTCTCCACCATGGCCAAGACCAAAGAGCTCTCCAAGGATGTCAGGGACAATATTGTAGACCTACATAAGGCTGGAATGGGCTACAAGACCATCGCCAAGCAGCTTGGTGAGAAGGTGACAACAGTTGGTGCGATTATTCGCAAATGGAAGAAACACAAAATAACTGTCAATCTCCCTCGGCCTGGGGCTCCATGCAAGATCTCACCTCGTGGAGTTGCAATGATCATGAGAACGGTGAGGAATCAGCCCAGAACTACACGGGAGGATCTTGTCAATGATCTCAAGGCAGCTGGGACCATAGTCACCAAGAAAACAATTGGTAACACACTACGCCGTGAAGGACTGAATTCCTGCAGCGCCCGCAAGGTCCCCCTGCTCAAGAAAGCACATATACATGCCAGTCTGAAGTTTGCCAATGAACATCTGAATGATTCAGAGGAGAACTGGGTGAAAGTGTTGTGGTCAGATGAGACCAAAATTGAGCTCTTTGGCATCAACTCAACTCGCCGTGTTTGGAGGAGGAGGAATGCTGCCTATGACCCCAATAACACCATCCCCACAGTCAAACATGGAGGTGGAAACATTATGCTTTGGGGGTGTTTTTCTGCTAAGGGGACAGGACAACTTCACCGCATCAAAGGAACGATGGACGGGGCCATGTACCGTCAAATCTTGGGTGAGAACCTCCTTCCCTCAGCCAGGGCATTGAAAATGGGTCGTGGATGGGTATTCCAGCATGACAATGACCCAAAACACACGGCCAAGGCAACAAAGGAGTGGCTCAAGAAGAAGCACATTAAGGTCCTGGAGTGGCCTAGCCAGTCTCCAGACCTTAATCCCATAGAAAATCTGTGGAGGGAGCTGAAGGTTCGAGTTGCCAAACGTCAGCCTCAAAACCTTAATGACTTGGAGAAGATCTGCAAAGAGGAGTGGAACAAAATCCCTCCTGAGATGTGTGCAAACCTGGTGGCCAACTACAAGAAACGTCTGACCTCTGTGATTGCCAACAAGGGTTTTGCCACCAAGTACTAAGTCATGTTTTGCAGAGGGGTCAAATACTTATTTCCCTCATTAAAATGCAAATCAATTCATAACATTTTTGACATGCGTTTTTCAGGATTGTTTTGTTGTTATTCTGTCTCTCACTGTTCAAATAAACCTACCATTAAAATTATAGACTGATTATGTTTTTTTCAGTGGGCAAACGTACAAAATCAGCAGGGGATCAAATACTTTTTTCCCTCACTGTACTAACAATAAGGCAAGTGTGGTTGTATGATCATAAGGCTTAATCTTTGTACAATTTATGATTGTACAAATTTCGTGATTTCTATAGATTCCGCAGAGTTCATAACATGATTGTTCTACTGGAAAGGTGTGTATTTTTGATGACCTGCAGGGTTGAGCTAGCATTCCTCAACCATGCTTTATACAACATAAACAGCACATGCCTCAAAGGGGGGGGACTATAAAAAAATTACACTGTGTACATACAAGTGTATCAAGTTAAGTCATTCGTTTGGCAGTCCTTTACAGTTACAGTCCTTTGGCATGTAAAGTCCTCTTGGTAAGGACAAGGGTGATGGGTGCAAGTCCCCTGACAGTGTCTGTTGTAGCCATGTCTGCTCTGGGACAAGTTTGCTGTAGGAGGTCCTTAGAGGTGTGTCTATAGTGAGGCATTCATGCTGATTAGCAGCGCAGCTGACCACTTTGGTCCTGCAGCTCCGTGATCAGCTGTTCAAGCTCTTTGACATCATCACTCAGGTCGCCATGGATCTCCCCAGTAGCAACATATGTGTGCAGTTGCTGAGGAGAAACGGTGTAAAGAAATACAATTACTACATTTGGTTATAAGTTATCGCAAAAAACAATCGAGGTCGGTGAAGTAGTAATGACTTGATGTGAGCAGTCCGATACATCTGTATTATGTGGTGGGGTGTTGGCATGAAGGCCAAGTATTTTGTACTGTACCTTGGCTTTGATGGTGAGGCTTCTCAGGCTGAGACGAGTGGAGGACAACATCTGCAATGCCTCTTGGGGGTTACTCTTCTTTTTACTACAGCTGAGGGTCACTGTGAACCCATAAATGTGAGAAATAGAGACAGAAAATACCTATTAGCACATCAATATTTGTGATTAAGAGACAGAGAAACTGGTTACAAATGACGGAGTCACCCATGATTCACCAAATTATATTTTGACGGAAGAAACAAAGTACTTTAAGCATATGTTTTCGTTTCAGTCACCTCCATCTCCTCTAACTGAAGCAAATTGTAGAGATTTTTTTTCTATTGATAATGTCAAATTAACAGCCATACAGAAAGACTCATGTGAAGGTGAAATTACAGAGGAGGAACTTCTGGATGCAATTAAATACTTTAAATCCGGGAAAACTCCAGGGTTGGATGGCATACCAGTCGAGGTATACCAAACCTTCTTTGATATACTCAGAGGACCGTTATTAGCATGTTTTAATCACTCCTATGTAAATGGTAGATTATCAGACACTCAAGAAGAAGGTCTGATTTCATTATTACTGAAACAGGATACAAGTGGAAAATATAAAGATCCAGTCCATTAAAAAAAATTGGTGGCCCCTTACACTTCAAAATTCTAGCAAAATGTATAGCGCATAGAATAAAAAAAGGTATTGTTGGACATTATTCATTCTTATCAGACAGGTTTTTTACATGGGCGATACATTGGAGATAATATGAGGCAAGTACTGGAAACAATAGAACACTATGGAAAATCTGGGAAACCAGGCCTACTATTCATAGCAGACTTCGAAAAGGCATTTGATAAAGTACGACTGGGGTTTATATATAAATGCCTGGAGCATTTCAATTTTGGTCAATCTCTTATAAATTGGGTTAAAATCATGTATAGTAACCCTAGGTGTAAAATAGTAAATAATGGCTATTTCTCAGAAAGTTTTAAACTGTCAAGAGGAGTGAAACAAGGTTGTCCACTATTGGCATATCTATTTATTATTGCCATCGAGATGTTAGCTATTAAAATCAGATCCAACAATAATATCAAGGGATTAGAAATCCAGGGCTTAAAAACAAAGGTGTCATTGTACGCTGATGATTCATGTTTTCTTTTAAATCCACAACTTGAATCCCTCCACAGCCTCATAGAGGATCTAGATACATTTTCAAACCTCTCTGGATTACAACCAAATTATGATAAATGTACTATATTATGTATTGGATCACAAAAAAAATACAATTTTTACATTACCTTGTAGTTTACGAATAAAATGGTCTGATGGTGATGTGGATATACTCGGAATACATATCCCAAATGAAATAAATGATCTCACTCCAATACATTTTAATAGAAAGTTAGCAAAAATAGATAAGATCTTGCTACCATGGAAAGGTAAATACCTGTCAATTTGTGGAAAAATCACCCTGATTAACTCTTCAATATTATCCCAGTTTACCTATTTGCTTATGGTTTTACCTACGCCTAGCGAACAGTTTTTTAAATTATATGAGAAAAAAAGATTCCATTTTATTTGGAACGGCAAGCCAGACAAAATTAAACAGGCCTATTTATATAATGAATATGAATTCGGAGGACAGAAATTATTAAATATTAAAGCATTAGACCTATCACTAAAAGCTTCAGTCATACAAAAATTATACTTAAATCCAAACTGGTTCTCTAGCAAACTAGTAAGATTGTCTCACCCAATGTTCAAGAAGGGACTTTTTCCCTTTATTCAGATTACAACCCCTCACTTTCAGGTATTTGAAAAGGAAATCATCTCCCAAATATCACTATTTCTAAAACAAGCCATAGAAAGTTGGTTGCAATTTCAATTTAATCCTCCAGAAATGACAGAACAAATATTGCAACAAATATTGTGGTTAAACTCAAATATACTAATTGATAAAAAACCGTTCTTTTTTGAGAAAATGTTTAAAAAAGGTATAATCTTCGTAAATGATATTATCGGTAGGAATGGTGGAGTTATGTCGCACATGCAGCTGACAGAAACATATGGAAATGTCTGCTCTACCCAAAATTACAACCAAATAATTGCAGCATTATCGCAAAAATGGAAGAGGAAAGTGGAAGGAGGAAAAAGTAAGAACTTGTCTGTCAGCCTTGCATTAAAGAACATAATTGGTTAAAGAAAATTGTGATAAATAAAAAAGTTTACCAGTTTCATTTAAGGACCAAAAGATTGACAGCCGATAGAATGTTATTTGTATGAGGGATACAATCTTCCCAGCTCTGCAGATTTGGCTGTGAAGAGACAGAATTATTAGATAATTTGTTTTGGTACTGTCCATTTGTAGCTTGTTTCTGGACACAGGTCCAGGAATGGCTGAAGGACTGCAATATTTGCATGGAGCTGACCCTGCAGATAGCACTACTGGGTGATCTGAAAAGTCATAGTCAATCGATCAATAATATAATAATACTTTTAGCAAAAATGTTTATTTTCAATTCACAAACTGTAGAAACAATGAGAATAGAAAGGTTCAGAACTTTTGTAAAACATCACAGTACAGTTGAAAAATATATGTCAAATAGAAATCCAATATGGATGGTGGTAAGAGATAGATGGGAGGTGTTGAATGGAGATGAAGGATGGGACTAATAACAACAAGATAACTAGTGTAAGACATGCTGTGTCCATAATAAGTATATAGGTTATACAGTCGTATGAAAAAGTTTGGGCACCCCTCTGAGGCTGCATAATAATTTACTCTGTCGTCACAGAAAATGATCACAGTGGCATGCCATTCATTTTCTAATAAAAGCTGAGTACTGGGGTATTGTCCAGACAAAGATTTTTAGTATAGCAATATTAATTTGTATGAAATTAAATCAGATGTGAAAAATTGGCTATGCAAAAATGTGGGCACCCTTGTCATTCTGTTGATCTGAATACCTGTAACTACTTAGCACTGATTAATTGGAACACACAATTGGTTTGGTGAGCTCATTAAGCCTTGAACTTCATAGACAAGTGCATCCAATCATGAGAAAAGGTATTTAAGGTGGCCAATTGCAAGTTGTTGTTCTCTTTGACTCTCCTCTGAAGAGTGGCAACATGGGGGCCTCAAAACAACTCTCAAATGACCTGAAAACAAAGATTGTTCAACATTATGGTTTAGGGGAAGGCTACAAAAAGCTATCGCAGAGATGTAAGCTGTCAGTGTCCACTGTGAGGAACATAGTGAGGAAATGGAAGACCACAGGCACAGTTCTTGTTAAGGCCAGAAGTGGCAGGCCAAGTAAAATATCGGAGAGGCAAAGGTGAAGGATGGTGAGAACGGTCAAAAACAGCCCACAGAAGACCTCCAAAGACCTCCAACATAATCTTGCTGCAGATGGTGTCACTGTGCATCGTTCAACAATTCAGCACACTTTGCACAAGAAGAAGCTGTATGGGAGAGTGATGCGGAAGAAGCCTTTTCTGCACACACGCCACAAACAGAGTCGCTTGAGGTATGCAAACGCACATTTGGACAAGCCAGCTTCATTTTGGAATAAGGTGCTGTGGACTGATGAAACAAAGATTTAGTTATTTGGTCATAACAAGGGGCGTTATGCATGGCGGCAAAAGAACACAGCATTCCAAGAAAAACACTTGCTACCCACAGTAAAATTTGGTGGGGGTTCCATCATGCTGTGGGGCTGTGTGGCCAGTGCCGGTACTGGGAATCTTGTTAAAGTTGAGGGTCGCATGGATTCCACTCAATATCAGCAGATTCTTGGGAATAATGTTGAAGAATCAGTCACAAAGTTGAAGTTATGCCGGGGCTGGATATTTCAACAAGACAACAACTCAAAACACTGCTCAAAATCTACCCGGGCATTTATGCAGAGGAACAAGTACAATGTTCTGGAATGGCCATCCCAGTCCCCAGACCTGAATATCATTGAGAATCTGTGGGATGATTTGAAAAAACGCCTGTCCATGCTCGGCAACCATCAAACCTAACTGAAGTGGAGATGTTTTGTAAGTAAATGTAAATGTAAATGTAAGGAGGAATGGTCCAAAATACCTTCATCCAGAATCCAGACACTCATTAGAGGCTATAGGAAGCATCTAGAGGCTGTTATTTTAGCAAAAGGAGGCTCAACTAAATATTGATGTGATTTTTCTGTTGGGGTGCCCAAATTTATGCACCCGTCTAATTTCGTTTTGATGCATATTGCACATTTTATGTTAATCCAATAAACCTAATTTCACTACTGAAATATTACTGTGTCCATCAGTTATTTTATAGATCAAAATGAAATTGCTGATCCAAACACCCAATTATTTATAAATGGAAATCATGGAAATTGTTTGGGGTGCCCAAACTTTTTCATACGACTGTATATTGTGAACTTTTGTGAAAGAGCACAGTTAGAAAGATACGGCATATAGAAGCATACCAGATGGATATCATGAAAATGATCGGAGGAATTTCAGGAGTAAAAACAAACAATATAATTATTGACTGTGTCCATAAAATGTATATAGTATGTACAGTGAGGGAAAAAAGTATTTGATCCCCTGCTGATTTTGTACGTTTGCCCACTGACAAAGAAATGATCAGTCTATAATTTTAATGGTAGGTTTATTTGAACAGTGAGAGACAGAATAACAACAACAAAATCCAGAAAAACGCATGTCAAAAATGTTATGAATTGATTTGCATTTTAATGAGGGAAATAAGTATTTGACCCCTCTGCAAAACATGACTTAGTACTTGGTGGCAAAACCCTTGTTGGCAATCACAGAGGTCAGACGTTTCTTGTAGTTGGCCACCAGGTTTGCACACATCTCAGGAGGGATTTTGTCCCACTCCTCTTTGCAGATCTTCTCCAAGTCATTAAGGTTTCGAGGCTGACGTTTGGCAACTCGAACCTTCAGCTCCCTCCACAGATTTTCTGTGGGATTATGGTCTGGAGAATGGCTAGGCCACTCCAGGACCTTAATGTGCTTCTTCTTGAGCCACTCCTTTGTTGCCTTGGCCGTGTGTTTTGGGTCATTGTCATGCTGGAATACCCATCCACGACCCATTTTCAATGCCCTGGCTGAGGGAAGGAGGTTCTCACCCAAGATTTGACGGTACATGGCCCCGTCTATCGTCCCTTTGATGCGGTGAAGTTGTCCTGTCCCCTTAGCAGAAAAACACCCCCAAAGCATAATGTTTCCACCTCCATGTTTGACGGTGGTGATGGTGTTCTTGGGGTCATAGGCAGCATTCCTCCTCCTCTAAACACGGCGAGTTGAGTTGATGCCAAAGAGCTCAATTTTGGTCTCATCTGACCACAACACTTTCACCCTGTTCCCCTCTGAATTATTCAGATGTTCATTGGCAAACTTCAGACGGGCATGTATATGTGCTTTCTTGAGCAGGGGGACCTTGCGGGCGCTGCAGGATTTCAGTCCTTCACGGCGAAGTGTGTTACCAATTGTTTTCTTGGTGACTATGGTCCCAGTTGCCTTGAGATCATTGACAAGATCCTCCCGTGTAGTTCTGGGCTGATTCCTCACCGTTCTCATGATCATTGCAACTCCACGAGGTGAGATCTTGCATGGAGCCCCAGGCCGAGGGAATAATCGCACTAACTGTTGTCACCTTCTCACCAAGCTGCTTGGCGATGGTCTTGCAGCCCATTACAGCCTTGTATAGGTCTACAATCTTGTCCCTGACATCCTTGGAGAGCTCTTTGGTCTTGGCCATGGTGGAGAGTTTGGAATCTGATTGATTGATTGCTTCTGTGGACAGGTGTCTTTTATACAGGTAACAAGCTGAGATTAGGAGCACTCCCTTTAAGAGTGTGCTCCTAATCTCAGCTCGTTACCTGTATAAAAGACACCTGGGAGCCAGAAATCTTTCTGATTGAGAGGGGGTCAAATACTTATTTCCCTCATTAAAATGCAAATCAATTTATATATTTTTTTTTACATGCGTCTTTCTGGATTTTTTTGTTGTTATTCTGTCTCTCACTGTTCAAATAAACCCTACCATTAAAATTATAGACTGATCATTTCTTTGTCAGTGGGCAAACATACAAAATCAGCAGGGGATCAAATACTTTTTTCCCTCACTGTATAACAATGAAGTAGAGGCCTAAGCATTGTTGTTCATTAGTTTACTCCAATTAGGGAAGGGATGGTGGGGTTGGAAAGTAATAAAGGGAAATATATATATTTTTAAAGAATATGTATGTATATATATATATATGTATGTATATGCGTATATATATGTATGTGTATATATATTTGAGAAAAATAAAAAATAAACATATGGGAGATTGGAAGTGATGCAGGCAATTACATTGATGGAAGTTACAATCTATCTGCAATATTAAATCTGATCTACCCCCTAAATAAAAAAATAAAAAATAAAAAAATAGTAAGGTATGTGTATTAAAATGAGTGATTGCTAGAGGGAGAGATGAGGGGTTTCTGGGTCGGGGTCCAGGGGCCATGGCCCTGGCTGCCCTGGTGAGACACTGTGGCACCATGGACCTATGCATGACTAACAGGTCCCATATAGTTATACTGCACATGTTTGGAGAGGTTGAGGAGAGGAGTAATTTCTCCTGGGACTGGTTAATGAGGGCTCCACCTTCCTCAGGGTGATTTCTCAAGCCTGCAGTCAGAGACTTTGTTCAGTGGGTCTCATCTCGTTACGCCGAAGACACTTCACCGCTCACCCCCGCCGTGACAGGCCTGGCAGCTTGCAAATAAATCATTAGACCGAGACCTTTTTCCACAATGCCTGTTTAATCACTCCTGTGATCACGGTCTGAGATAACATGATCAAAATGTCCTCTGTAACGCCTCCACTTACTTTTTCAGAGGACATCACAGTGAATATTCATTCAGCAGGATGACACACCACTCATTTATTTTGTAGAATTGTACCAATATCAACAAATACCTTATCTATGGTAGCTATGAACAACACAAAATGATGAATAAAGCTCAGAAGAATATGTTATTCTATGCTGCTTTGAGAAACATACCAACACAAAGCCATGTTCCTGAGACCAGTGAGGATATTGATAGGCTAGTTCCCCATCGCCGCAGTGTCTTTTGTCTTGGTGTTTACCCGACACCTTTTATCTCCCTCTCGCACATGAGCAAGGGAAAACAAGCGGTGGTCTCTTCTATTCTATCTGAGCTACACCTTTCCCCTGTATGGTCTTCTTCAGCCGCGACAGCACAGAAGGTCAAAACAGCATGATTTATGGATGAGGACCTCTTCTGCGCTACCCTCCTCCTCTTTCTCATCACTTTCTTTTTTCGCATCCCTCTCTTCTGAACTCTGTGGATGCAGTGTCCAGGCCCATCATAGAGGTTACAAAGCTGAGTTGAGTGAGGGGGCTGTGGTAGAGGGGGCTTGGTGGGTTCTGATCAATTAGCTAAACCTGTATCTCTTTATAAATCATTAAGATCAACAGCTCTCTGGTGCTTTTCTGAAGGACACAGGGGCAGCATGTGGGAGGGTTTGGGGAGTCACACCACAGCCTGTGTGTGTGAGGTGTAAGGTGTATGTGTGGGATGGGGGACAAGGTGTGTGACTTGAGTGAAGATGAGCCCTAGCGACAGCATCAACGCCAGAGATGTGCTGGAGAAGGCACATTGCTATTCCTCCCTTGTTGCCCCTGGCGCCCTGACTCCCTCTGATGTTTAATTCAACACAGCATCCGGCTGTAATGAAAAACCTGGGGATTTTCGAGATTAACAACTTTATTGGAGTTCTTCTATAGGACAATCTCCTCCATCCTGCCTGCTGTCTCCATCGCCTCTCCACCCGCCAACCCCCTTGCCTCCACACTAACTCGTAGAGTAATTGTTTGGATCGGGATTGCGTTTAGAGGGCAGTGGGGTAAGACGGATTGTTTGTCTTCTTTTTTCTCTTCTCGTGGCTGCCATCGATCATATCTTCTCCCCGCGCGGCCTGACGCAAAGACGCGTAGGAGACGTGACATTAAGCATGATGAGTGTTCCGTGTGTCTCCACCAACATGCTGCGGTCACGTGTGCCGCAGGGTGTGTCGGAGAAACGTCTGTGTGTGTGTGTGTGGGATGAGGTGTGTGTGTGTGTAGGGGTAGGGAGTGCGACACTCACCGTAGGCCAGATCTATGGCTCTCCTTATAACCTCCTTGAAGGTCCCAGAGTCTTTCTCCCAGCCGCTGGCCTGCACTTCACAGCGATGGGCCTTGGACAGGAAATGCAACGCCTACCACACAAACAGACACACACAAGAAAATACATTAAAAACAATTATCCCCCCAACACATAGAAATGCTGTGGGCTACCATTTAAAGAAAAACAATTATTGTCACATACCATAAAGCCTGACCAAGCTGTTGGCCACATCAAGCCATCTGGTTTATAATGAACACATTTGATGAATAAAAAAATTAACAGAAGTCATCGTTGTGGCATGACTGGCCTATGGGAGGGGGAAATGGCAGTGGAAAGACTAGTGGAATGACAAATAACATGCCAGGACTAAGGGTTATTGGGTCACAACTCACTAGTCACACTTAGGACATGATCAGGCTGGGAAATTACATTTTTGGTCCACCAGCCACTGTGGCAGGTAGATACAAAAATCTACCAGCCACTCAGATTTTTTACCAGCCAAAATATTTTTGCCACCACTATTATAATAAAAAAATTTATTTAAAAAAGGGATGAGAACGCTTTTGATTTTTCTAAAACAAGAAATGTACTACTAGTAAGAAGTAAATGGGGTATATTGCTTAATTTCCTTTCATTTTTGTGACCTGCGTCTTTTAACCAATGTTAAAATAAATCATTCAGATACAATAGTAAAAACAGATAAACAGTTCTACGACTGAACATCAAGAATCAACAAAGTACCTACCATGCCACAAAAGCCTGAGTGATATGGCTTATTTATTATTATAATTCAGGACTACCAGGGCCTAAAATTAACATCCACCACCTGCCAAATGTGGGTAGATTTTGGCATTGGCTGGTAAAGGGATGGATCGAAATTTACAGAATGGTTACCTGGAGGAAAATGGGGGAGGGTCATGCTTTTTAAATTTCAGCCAAGGTGAAGGTTTAGTATTTTTTAAATTAGTCCAGGGGAGGGTCATGCAATTTGTAATTGATGAAACTTCAATATTTCTCAGTGTTTTAGAATTAGTTGCATAGAAATGTTTGCAAATGCATTGAAAATGAAACACAGAAATACATCATTTATTTAAGTATTCATACTCCTGAGTCAATACATGTTAGAATCACCTTTGACAACAATTACAGCTGTGAGTCTTTCTGGTTAAGTCTCTAAGAGCTTTGCACACCTGGATTGAGCAATATTTGCACATTATCCTTTTTAAAATTCTTCAGGCTCTGTCAAGTTGGTTGTTGATCATAGATTATTTTTTAAATGTTTTACTTTATTTTTTTATTTTAACCTTTATTTAACTAGGCAAGTCCGTTAAGAACAAATTCTTATTTACAATGACGGCCTACACCGGCCAAACCCGGACGACGCTGGGCCAATTGTGCGCCACCCTATGGGACTCCCAATCACGGCTGGTTGTGATACAGCCTGGAATCGAACCAGGGGGTCTGTAGTGACACCTCAAGCACTGAGATGCAGTGCCTTAGACCGCTGCGCCACTCGGGAGCCCATTTAAGCCGATTTAAGTCAAAACTTTAATTTGGCCACTCGGGAACATTCAATGTCCTTGTGTTTTAGGTTATTGTCCTGCTGAAAGGTGAATTATTCTCCAAGTGTCTGTTGGAAAGCAGACTGAACCAGGTTTTCCTCTAGGATTTTGCCTGTGCTTAGCTCTATTCCGTTTATTTTTCTCCTAAAAAAAAACTCCCTAGTCCTTGCCGATGACAAGCATACCCATAACGTGAGGCAGCCAACACCATGCTTGAAAATACGAAGAGTGGTACTCAGTGATGTGTTGTTGGATTTGCCCTAAACATAACACTTTGTATTCAAGACATAAAGTTAATTTCTTTGCCACATTTTCTGCCACATTTTTGCAGTTTTACTTTAGTGCCTTATTGCAAACAAGATGCATGTTTTGGAATATTTTGTATTCTGTACAGGCTTCCTTCTTTTCACTCTGCCATTTAGCTTAGTATTGTGGAGTAACTACAATGTTGTTGATTCATTCTCAGTTTTCTCCTATCACAGCCATTAAAATCTAACTGTTTTAAAGTCACCATCGGCCTCATGGTGAAATCCCTGAGCAGTTTACGTCCTCTCCGGCAACTGAGTTAGGAAGGACGCCTGTATCTTTGTAGTGACTGGGTGTATGTTTATTAGTTGTTATCTACCAATAGGTGCCCTTCTTTACGAGGCATTGGAAATTCTTATTGTTCTTTGTAGTTGAATCAGTGTTTGAAATGTACTGCTCGACCTAGGGAACTTACTGATAATTATCTTCATTTTAATTAGACTTTAACAACAAGAAGGGTTTGTGTTGGAGCCTATTTCTTCCTATTTAAGAAATAAAAAGTAGGCCTACCTGTTTGACAGACGAAATTAGGCTATAGGCTGCTATATCCATAGATTTGTCAGTAAAATCTTCCACTCACCATGCACTCTTTAAATAGCCTACCTCCGTGTCAGTGAAGGGCTCTTAAGTTAAAAAACCAAGACTCAAATTGAGGGGGTATATGCCATAGGCTTACCATTAATTAAAGAAAACGGCAAAAAGCACACAAAAAAGCCCTACCCCTTGCTATCTTAAAACAGATCCAATTATATAACAGCGCTTTGGTCCGTGATGCTTTATGCTACAAACAAGCTGTAAAATACCCGGGAAAGACATGACTCCGATGCATATGGGGATATCATTGTTTAGCTACAACCTTCTATAGCAGAGGAGACAAACAATTGACTTTGCTTGGGAAGTAATCTAATTCTGTCATTCGGGGCGGCAGGTAGCTTAGTGGTTAAGAGCGTTGTGCCAGTAACCGAAAGGTCGCTGGTTCTAATCCCCGAGCCGACTAGGTGAAAAATCTGTCGATGTGCCCTTGAGCAAGGCACTTAACCCTAATTGCTCCTGTAAGTCACTCTGGATAAGAGCGTCTGCTAAAATGACTAAAATTTTAAAAAATTAAGCTATTCCCTTTCTGTACAATAGAAGATGTTTAAACCCAGACAGCTTTTAGGGAAACACTTGTGACCTTCTCTCATTGGGTTAAGCCATGGAAGAAGAGTAGCCAGCAGTTAAAGCTTACATTTTTCTGCATCGGTAGGCCTACTCTGTCTGGGGTAGATTCCTAATGACGTCTCAGATTGAATTATTTGCAAACAGGGACAGTTGCGTTGCAAACAAGACACACTGATTTGGCATTGGAGAAATATGATAAGATTAACACATAGACCTATCTCTATATCCATTCTTTGCCTGTACATTTCGGTAATTTGTACGGTATTAAAAAAGACTCCGCAAATATGTAAAATGACGAAGAATTGCATGACATTTTTATAAAAATGAAAATTTTTCTCTGACCTGTAAATACAATGACAGATTCATGCAATGCTTTTACTATTAAGGAGATCTTTCCACCCCTACTCCTGTCCACGGTGGTCTGCGAACCCACAACCTTCTGGCCCGCAGCCCTGTGCTCTATAAAAATTCCTGCATTGCCATGTAATGCTTACAGGACGAAGAACAGTTTCTAAAACTGCATATCTAAGGCTCTGGTCTGTCCAATAAGTGAGGGTAAATGGTAGACATGTTCTCTGCTATCCACTTTGTTTAAATTATTATTTTGGGTATAGGGAAGGGTTAATGTATTTTTTCAAGGGTTCAGGGAGGGTTTAGGTAAAATATATTTTGCTGAAGGGAGGGCCATCCATTTTCATTTCAGAGGTCCGATTCTCTCCATGTAACCCTTATTATAAATAACTTTCACTCCCTAAGAATGTCCAATTCACCAGCCACGTTGGTAGGTGGTCACACTCAGGGCTATACAGTACGAGCATTTCATAAAAAAATAGTCAAGTATGGGCACAAGTGCAAGTTGTGACTTATAGCAAAATAAATGCTGCAGTAGCTGTTTTCAAAGTATTTCTGCCTTTTTGTTTCATATTTGGTAATGCACAAATAAATCTGAATCCTAATGTTAACATATCCCACCTTGCGCAGCAACACTGCCTGTCTAGGGTGGCTGTGAGCATTTTTGTGTGTTTAGTTTTCATGACTCAGATTAAATCGAGCAATACACAACATTACTTCTTACTAGTAATACATTTCTTGTTTTAGAAACTAAGCATGCTCTTGTGTTTTACAGTGGCTGGTATACAAAAAAGTTAGTTTTAGGCCCTGCCCTATGCTGACATTTTTTACAAGGTGTACATGATTTGCTCCTAAGTAGAAATGTAGGAGCAAACAAATAAATCTAGGAGAACAATTAAAGTATAAGTGTTTTAATGATAAGAAATTACAAAAAGTTCATGAATAAAAGGAGTGACCCATGCTCAATCAAGCACAATCATTACCGTGGTAACTTGGGCAATCGCTTGTCTGTGATCAAAACAAATCTCAGACTGCTATGTCTTCCTAGCAGCAGACAGTTTCAGCAAACTCAAACTAACATTGAAAAACAACCTAGTGTGTGAACACTATAACTGGCCAATAAACACGAGGACAAAGTCACACTTTAGTAGCTTTTCTTTCAATTCGACCAACTTCTACAGTGAGGAAAAAAAAGTATTTAGTCAGCCACCAATTGTGCAAGTTCTCCCACTTAAAAAGATGAGAGAGGCCTGTAATTTTCATCATAGGTACACGTCAACTATGACAGACAAAATGAGATTTTTTTTCTCCAGAAAATCACATTGTAGGATTTTTTATGAATTTATTTGCAAATTATGGTGGAAAATAAGTATTTGGTCAATAACAAAAGTTTCTCAATACTTTGTTATATACCCTTTGTTGGCAATGACACAAGTCAAACGTTTTCTGTAAGTCTTCACAAGGTTTTCACACACTGTTGCTGGTATTTTGGCCCATTCCTCCATGCAGATCTCCTCTAGAGCAGTGATGTTTTGGGGCTGTCGCTGGGCAACACGGACTTTCAACTCCCTCCAAAGATTTTCTATGGAGTTGAGATCTGGAGACTGGCTAGGCCACTCCAGGACCTTGAAATGCTTCTTACGAAGCCACTCCTTCGTTGCCCGGGCAGTGTGTTTGGGATCATTGTCATGCTGAAAGACCCAGCCACGTTTCATCTTCAATGCCCTTGCTGATGGAAGGAGGTTTTCACTCAAAATCTCACGATACATGGCCCCATTCATTCTTTCCTTTACACGGATCAGTCGTCCAGGTCCCTTTGCAGAAAAACAGCCCCAAAGCATGATGTTTCCACCCCCATGCTTCACAGTAGGTATGGTGTTCTTTGGATGCAACTCAGCATTCTTTGTCCTCCAAACACAACAAGTTGAGTTTTTACCAAAAAGTTCTATTTTGGTTTTCATCTGACCATATGACATTCTCCCAATCCTCTTCTGGATCATCCAAATGCACTCTAGCAAACTTCAGACGGGCCTGGACATGTACTGGCTTAAGCAGGGGGACACGTCTGGCACTGCAGGATTTGAGTCCCTGGCGGCGTAGTGTGTTACTCATGGTAGGCTTTGTTACTTTGGTCCCAGCTCTCTGCAGGTCATTCACTAGGTCCCCCCGTGTGGTTCTGGGATTTTTGCTCACCCGTTCTTGTGATCATTTTGACCCCACGGGGTGAGATCTTGCGTGGAGCCCCAGATCGAGGGAGATTATCAGTGGTCTTGTATGTCTGCCATTTCCTAATATTGCTCCCACAGTTGATTTCTTCAAACCAAGCTGCTTACCTATTGCAGATTCAGTCTTCCCAGCCTGGTGCAGGTCTACAATTTTGTTTCTGGTGTCCTTTGACAGCTCTTTGGTCTTGGCCATAGTGGAGTTTGGAGTGTGACTGTTTGAGGTTGTGGACAGGTGTCTTTTATACTGATAACAAGTTCAAACAGGTGCCATTAATACAGGTAACGAGTGGAGGACAGAGGAGCCTCTTAAAGAAGAAGTTACAGGTCTGTGAGAGCCAGAAATCTTGCTTGTTTGTAGGTGACCAAATACTTATTTTCCACCATAATTTGCAAATAAATTCATTAAAAATCTTACATGTGATTTTCTGGAATTTTTCCTCAATTTGTCTGTCATAGTTGACGTGTACCTATGATGAAAATTACAGGCCTCTCTCATCTTTTTAAGTGGGAGAACTTGAAAAATTGGTTGCTGACTAAATACTTTTTTTCCCCCACTGTACATGTGGCCTTTGTATAAAATTTGAAAAACAGTCTTATCAACAGCCCACTGCGTATGACAAATAGGAGCCATCTATCACTGTGTGGCTAAGTGCAACACCACTAGTTACCAATGCCTATATCAGTTACTAATGAGCCTATAAATAGCTTGTTAACAAGCGCAAAGTCCATTACGATAATTACCTTTTCACCACCCCTCCAAGCACATACAGTAAGTATATTTAATGTGTGGTGTTTGCACAGCTAAATGTCAAGGGACGTTAGGGGAATGTTAGGGGGGCCTACTTTCTCATTGTCCCCAGGCCTGATGCTCTGTCCGTCTCCATAGAGCAGGGTGTAGTGAGGCCAGATCTCAGCGTCGGTGCTGTGGCAGGACGTGACGCGACCCAGGAGCTCCTGGATCTTGGCCCACAGGGACGAGGCCTGGTCGCCATGGTTATCCGCCATGTCCTCCACCACCACCCGCACCAGGATCTCTAGAATCTGGAACACAGAGAACAGGGAAGAGTGGAAATGTGAATGGAGCGCTACTCTGGTTTGAAGTGAGAGAGGAGTCGGAAAGAGTGGAGTGACTACTTTTGTCTAAATCGAAGAGAAAGTGGTGGGTGGTTTGGTGTGTGAACCTGACCACACTGGCTTGAATTACATATGTCCTCTCTCAACATAGGCCAGTTGGGTTGCCTCAATGTCTTGTGGCTGTGTCATCCTCTGTTTCTAGTTTGTTGACTGCCATCTGAGCAGGAGGCTATTTCACACTGACGCTTTCCGCACTTGGTTTCAATTTCACGTCACACCCACTCAAATGCAATATGATAGGGATTGAGACTAGAATATCAAAACTGCGCAAAAATTATCTAACTTGTTTTCCATTGTCTCAATGGAAATGTATGCACAGTCACGATCATCATGCAGTCCAATTAAAAGCGACAGGGCAGAGCAATGCCAGATTTCAAAATAAGACCTCACCCTCTGTTACATATATGAATTAAATACTGTCCCATATGAATAATAAAACAATTTCATCATCAGCACACTGAAAACAAATAATTAAGTTAGAACACAACACACACCACTCACACAGAGGCATGTAATAGTCATAGCTATAATGAACAAAAATATATATGCAATATGCAACAATTTCAACGATTTTACTGAGTTACAGTTCATATAAAGAAATAAGTCAATTGAAAAAAATGAATTAGGCCCTAATCTATGAATTTCAGATGACTGGGCAGGAGTGCAACCATGGGTGGGCCCCACCCACCCCACTGGGGAGTCAGGCCCAGCCAATTAGAATAAGTCTTTCCCCACAAAAGGGCTTTATTAACAACAGAAATACTCCTCAGATTCATCAGCTGTCCAGGTGGCTGGTCTCAGACGATCTCGCAGGTGAAGAAGCTGGAAGTGGAGGTCCTGGGCTGGTGTGGTTACACGTGGTCTGCAGTTGTGAGGCCAGTTGGACGTACTGCCAAATTTGCTAAAACGACGGTGGTAGAGAAATGAACATTAAATTCTCTGGCAACAGCTCTGGTGGACATTCCTGTAGTCAGCATGCCAATTGCACGCTCCCTCAAAACACAATGCCACAGATGTGTCAAGCTGTGTGACAAAACTGCACAATTGAGAGTTGCTTTTTATTGTCCCCAGCACAAGGTACACCTGTGTAATGATCATGATGTTTAATTAGCTTCTTGATATGCCACATCTGTCAGGTGGATGGATTATCTTGGCAAAGGAGAAATGCTTACTAATAGGGATGTAAACAAATTTGTGCACAGAATTTGAGAGAAATAAGCTTTTTGTGCATATGGAACATTTCTGGGATCTTTTATTTTAACTCATGAAAACATGGGACCAACACATTACATGTTGCATTTACAAGTTTACATACTGCGTTTATATTTTTGTTCAGTATATATATATATATATATATATATATATATATATATATATATATATATATATATATATATATATATACACACAGTTGAAGTCGGAAGTTTACATACACCTTAGCCAAATACATTTAAACTCTGTTTTTCACAATTCCTGACATTTAATCCTAATAAAAATTCCCTGTCTTAGGTCAGTTAGGATCACCACTTTATTTTAAGAATGTGAAATGTCAGAATAATAGTAGAGAGAATGATTTATTTGAGCTTTTATTTATTTCATCACATTCCCAGTGGGTCAGAAGTTTACATACACTCAATTAGTATTTGGTAGCATTGCCTTTAAATTGTTTAACTTGGGTCAAACGTTTCAGGTAGCCTTCCACAAGCTTCCCACAATGAGTTGGGTGAATTTTGGCCCATTCCTCCTGACAGAGCTGGTGTAACTGAGTCAGGTTTGTAGGCCTCCTTGCTCGCACACCTTTTTCAGTTCTGCCCACACATTTTCTACAGGATTGAGATCAGGGCTTTGTGATGGCCACTACAATACCTTGACTTGTTGTCCTTAAGCCATTTTGCCACAACTTTGGAAGTATGCTTGGGGTCATTGTCCATTTGGAAGACCCAACTTCCTGACTGATGTCTTGAGATGTTGCTTCAATATATCCATATAATTTTCCTTCCTCATGATGCCATCTATTTTGTGAAGTGCACCAGTCCCTCCTGCAGCAAAGCACCCCCACAGCATGATGCTGCCACCCCCGTGCTTCATGGTTGGGATGGTGTTCTTTGGCTTGCAAGCAACCCCCTTTTTCCTCCAAAAATAACGATGGTCATTATGGCCAAACTGTTTTATTTTTGTTTCATCAGACCAGAGGACATTTCTCCAAAAAGTACGATCATTGTCCACATGTGCAGTTGCAAACCGTAGTCTGTCTTTTTTATGGCGGTTTTGGAGCAGTGGCTTCTTCCTTGCTGAGCAGCCTTTCAGGTTATGTCGATATAGGACTCATTTTACTGTAGATATAGATACTGTTGTACCTGTTTCCTCCAGCATCTTCACAAGGTCCTTTGCTGTTGTTCTGGGATTTATTTGCACTTTTCGCACCAAAGTACGTTCATCTCTAGGAGACAGAACGCGTCTCCTTCCTGAGCGGTATGACGGCTGCGTGGTCCCATGTTGTTTATACTTGCGTACTATTGTTTGTACAGATGAACGTGGTACCTTCAGGCGTTTGGAAATTGCTCCCAAGGATGAACCAGACTTGTGGAGGTCTACAATTTTCTTTCTGAGGTCTTGGCTGATTTCTTTTGATTTTCCCATGATGTCAAGCAAAGAGGCACTAAGTTTGAAGGTAAGTCTTGGAGGTACAGTTTGGAGGTACACCTCCAATTGACTCAAATGATGTCAATTAGCCTATTAGAAGCTTCTAAAGCCATGACATCATGTTCTGGAATTTTCCAAGCTGTTTAAAGGCACAGTCAACTTAGTGTATGTAAACTTCTGACACACTGTAATTGTGATACAGTGAATTATAAGTGAAATAATCTGTCTGTAAACAATTGTTTTTGTTAAATTACTAGTGTCATGCACAAAGTAGATGTTCTAACCGACTTGCAAGAAATTTGTGGAGTGGTTGAAAAACAAGTTTTAATGACTCCAACCTAAGTGTATGTAAACTTCCGACTTCAACTGTATGTATATATAAATATATATATATATAAACAAACTCAGCAAAAAAGTTATTCATAGTAAAGGGTTTAAGCACTGTTTACCATGCTTGTTAAATGAACCACAAACAATTAATGAACATGCACCTGTGGAACGGTCGTTAAGACACTAACAGCTTACAGACGGTAGGCAATTAAAGTCACAGTTATGAAAACTTAGGACACTAAAAGAGGCCTTTCTACTGACTCTGAAAAACACCAAAAGAAAGATGCCCAGGGTCCCTGCTCATCTGCGTGAAAGTGCCTTAGGCATGCTGCAAAGAGGCATGAGGACTGCAGATGTGGCCAGGGCAATAAATTGCAATGTCCGTACTGTGAGACGCCTAAGACAGCGCTACAGGGAGACAGCACGGACAGCTGATTGTCCTCGCATTGGCAGACCACGTGTAACAACACCTGCACAGGATCGGTACATCTGAACATCACACCTGCGGGACAGGTACAGGATGGCAACAACAACTGCCTGAGTTACACCAGGAACGCACAATCTCTCCATCAGTGCTCAGACTGTCCGCAATAGGCTGAGAGAGGCTGGACTGAGGGCTTGTATGCCTCTTGTAAGGCAGGTCCTCACCCGACATCACCGGCAACAATGTCGCCTAAGGGCACAAACCCACCGTCGCTGGACCAGACAGGACTGGCAAAAAGTGCTCTTCACTGACGAGTCGCGGTTTTGTCTCACCAGGGGTGATGGTCGGATTTGCGTTTATCGTCGAAGGATTGAGCGTTACACCGAGGCCTGTACTCTGGAGCGGGATCGATTTGGAGGTGGAGGGTCCGTCATGGTCTGGGGCGGTGTGTCACAGCATCATCGGACTGAGCTTGTTGTCATTGCGGGCAATCTCAACGCTGTGCGTTACAGAGAAGACATCCTCCTCCCTCATGTGGTACCCTTCATGCAGGCTCATCCTGACATGACCCTCCAGCATGACAATGCCACAAGCCATACTGCTCGTTCTGTGCGTGATTTCCTGCAAGACAGGAATGTCAGTGTTCTGCCATGGCCAGCGAAGAGCCCGGATCTCAATCCCATTGAGCACGTCTGGGACCGGCTAGGGCCATTCCCCCCAGAAATGTCTGGGAACTTGCAGGTGCCTTGGTGGAAGAGTGGGGTAACATCTCACAGCAAGAACTGGCAAAATTGGTGCAGTCCATGAGGAGGAGATGCACTGCAGTACTTAATGCAGCTGGTGGCCACACCAGATACTGACTGTTACTTTTGATTTCGACCCCCCCTTTGCTCAGGGACACATTATTCCATTTATGTTAGTTACATGTCTGTGGAACTTGTTCAGTTTATGTCTCAGATGTTGAATCTTGTTATGTTCACACAAATATTTACACATGTTAAGTTTGCTGAAAATAAACGCAGTTGACTGTCAGAGGACGTTTCTTTTTTTGCTGAGTTTATATACACTACCGTTCAAACATTTGGGGTCACTTAGAAATGTCCTTGTTTTCGAAAGAAAAGCAATTTTTTGGTCCATTAAAATAACATTACATTGATCAGATATACAGTGTAGACATTGTTAATGTTGTAAATGGCTATTGTAGCTGGAAACTGCAGATTTTTTATGGAATATCTACATAGGCGTACAGAGGCCCATTATCAGCAACCATCAATCCTGTGTTCCAATGGCACGTTGTGTTTGCTAATCCAAGTTTTTCATTTTAAAAGGCTAATTGATCATTAGAAAACCCTTTTGCAATTATGTTAGCACAGCTGAAAACTGTTGTGCTGATTAAAGAAGCAATAAAACTGTCATTTTTGAGACTAGTTGAGTATCTGGAGCGTCAGCAATTGTGGGTGCGATTACAGGCTCAAAATGGCCAGAAACAAATAACTTTCTTCTGAAACTC